TTATTTTTTTTTGCTGTTTATTTTTTTAAGAATTACAATTAACTGACTTATTATCATCCAAGCCGTCTCAATAATGCCAATTCTTTTGGTTGCCTGGCTCCCTTTGAATGGCGAAAGATGTTCTTGCCTTTTTATTTATAACCACTTCTAACTTTTTATGAATCATTATAGTCATTGACAGCACAAAAACTGCAGAGCTTGGCGAGTTCTGAGATTCTCATTATTTCTTTCTTTCCAATATTATTGCTGCAGTAACTCATAACAACTCCAACGAACAAACCACGAAGAAAGAAGCGGGGAGATAACGGCGTTTTCTTTTTTGAGCGTGGACAATCATGAACATAATGGCATTATTTTTTTTTTAAGTTATCAGTGACTCTATAGGTTTTTATCTACTCTGAAAGTTTGAAGTTAATGATGTGCGAGTGAGACTTTTTTTTTTTTTTTGCTTTCGGCCGCTTTCTCGTGAAATCAATATATAAATACAACTTCCAGACTACCTCGTCGTTCTCATTGTCAATAGCCAATTATTAGATCGTCAGGAAGGGTTCATTATTACGAGAAAACAACACTCGAATGGGAAGAAGCCCGTCGTTCTTGAGCTGCCACTGACCACGGCGATGAATCAGTCGATCTCAGCCCCGCCAGGAACACTGCCCGGCCAACGCTGTCTCTTTAATCATCCCCACTCGATCACTTTTTGTAGGTTCGTGCGCTCCTACGGTCATTTTCCTTTGTCCAGTGAGAAATTGCGGCCTTGGGAGCACAGGGTCGTGCCCGAGTGGAGGCTTCGTCTCGGCTTGGAAAGAAGGCTTCGGGAGGTTGAGAAACTGTAAGCGGAAGTCGGCGAGGACTTTGCACAAGCCCATTGGGGAACATTCCCAAGCACTCAGTGTGACCTCCCTGAACTCCCCCAACTGCTTCGCTTTTGGTTCTTCCCCCGTGTGTAGTGCTAGCAATGCCAGCGTTTATTGTGTGCCTATCTGTGTGTTTTGTTCTGGGCGCTGAAACACCGCAAAGTGGCGGAAATTAATAGACAACGGGAACGTCGGCAGGGTGTAGTTATCACTTTTTGTTTTCCTACGCAACATCCGGCATCGCCTGCAAGGCCAAAATGGTGTGCGTTAGCGGAACGACCTCTCACTCGCTCATACAGGCACGTTTATTGCTTTTGTTCGGCTCGGTGCTGATATGTAGCACGTAGCCCGTACGAGTAAGTATGGTTCGTAGTTGCCTTACATTACAAAACAAATATGCATTGTTTTTTTTGTTTGTTTTTTATTTACTCTTTTCTAATTTGGATGAACTGGAAAATTAGTGAACTGCATCCAAACGCGCTTCAACATTGGATGGATTTGGATACTCACTAAATGCTTCAAAACTCCAAGAACGTTTCGAAGTTCGACTTCATTACTTTATATACATATATATACATATATATATATATATATATATATATATATATATATATATATATATATATATATATATATATATATATATATATATATATATATATATATATTAGGGAATATATAAAAGGTTTAAAGAGGTTGTTACTTTTCTGATCGATAAATCATTGCTTTAAAAAAGATTTAATTATTGCGATTCGTTGATATAAATACTTCTATTGCACGATTCGCGGCGATATACATCGTTGGTGCTTTATGTTTTATGCGATTTCGCATTAGTCTAATGTTTTATCATGTGATAAAAACATGTTACATGGGAAATGCGATAAAGTAAATTTTTTACAGAATGCGACGTAAAAATACACGTTCCAGAAAGATGGGACAATTAAAACAATCAAATATATATAATTGGCGTGCGCCACTGGGTAAAAACACAGAAATTTCTTCCAATCCGTGCACACATATCGACAGCACACAAACAACAGTTACCCCGCGCACATCAAATTTAATAGCCCTGAAACGACAAGAAAATATAAAAGACGTATAAAAACTGTACGACAATACTAATACATACATTTAACTCATAGTCTTATGCTGTAACACCAGCGTCGCGAAATATCAATGGAAAACTACAGGCAGGAATTACATGACATCACCATAACTCAAGTAAATGCAAAGGTGCAAGCGAGCTGGACAAGAATGACGGAAATAATCCCTGGAGAAGGGGAACAAGAGGGACAAAGGACAAACACAAATCTCCAAACACAGCTAGGTGACTGGTCCGTGACCGAAAAAATCCCCCTGGTCCGGGTATCGAACCCGGGACCTCTCCATTACAGGTGGCGGCTGATAAAACCCGTTTGCTCTACTGATGTCTAACCCCTGGTTAGCTCAATTGGTAGAGCACTCCACCTGTAATGGAGAGGTCCCGGGTTCGATACCTGGACCAGGCGGATTTTTTCGGTCACGGACCAGTCACCTAGCTGTGTTTGGAGATTTGTGTTTGTCCTTTGTCCCTCTTGTTCCCCTTCTCCAGGGATTATTTCCGTCATTCTTGTCCAGCTCGCTTGCACCTTTGCATTTAATTGCATTATAATCATAACCTTAAATTGCAAGCTTCACCCTTGTTGGTGTTAGACTGGTGGCGGCTGATAAAACCCGTTTGCTCTACTGATGTCTAACCCCTGGTTAGCTCAATTGGTAGAGCACTCCACCTGTAATGGAGAGGTCCCGGGTTCGATACCCGGACCAGGCGGATTTTTTCGGTCACGGACCAGTCACCTAACTGTGTTTGGAGATTTGTGTTTGTCCTTTGTCCCTCTTGTTCCCCTTCTCCAGGGATTATTTCCGTCATTATTGTCCAGCTCGCTTGCACCTTTGCATTTAATTGCATTATAATCATAACCTTAAATTGCAAGCTTCACCCTTGTTGGTGTTAGACTGGTGGCGGCTGATAAAACCCGTTTGCTCTACTGATGTCTAACCCCTGGTTAGCTCAATTGGTAGAGCACTCCACCTGTAATGGAGAGGTCCCGGGTTCGATACCCGGACCAGGCGGATTTTTTCGGTCACGGACCAGTCACCTAGCTGCGTTTGGAGATTTGTGTTTGTCCTTTGTCCCTCTTGTTCCCCTTCTCCAGGGATTATTTCCGTCATTCTTGTCCAGCTCGCTTGCACCTTTGCATTTAATTGCATTATAATCATAACCTTAAATTGCAAGCTTCACCCTTGTTGGTGTTAGACTGGTGGCGGCTGATAAAACCCGTTTGCTCTACTGATGTCTAACCCCTGGTTAGCTCAATTGGTAGAGCACTCCACCTGTAATGGAGAGGTCCCGGGTTCGATACCCGGACCAGGCGGATTTTTTCGGTCACGGACCAGTCACCTAGCTGTGTTTGGAGATTTGTGTTTGTCCTTTGTCCCTCTTGTTCCCCTTCTCCAGGGATTATTTCCGTCATTCTTGTCCAGCTCGCTTGCACCTTTGCATTTAATTGCATTATAATCATAACCTTAAATTGCAAGCTTCACCCTTGTTGGTGTTAGACTGGTGGCGCCTGATAAAACCCGTTTGCTCTACTGATGTCTAACCCCTGGTTAGCTCAATTGGTAGAGCACTCCACCTGTAATGGAGAGGTCCCGGGTTCGATACGCGGACCAGGCGGATTCTTTCGGTCACGGACCAGTCACCTAGCTGTGTTTGGAGATTTGTGTTTGTCCTTTGTCCCTCTTGTTCCCCTTCTCCAGGGATTATTTCCGTCATTCTTGTCCAGCTCGCTTGCACCTTTGCATTTAATTGCATTATAATCATAACCTTAAATTGCAAGCTTCACCCTTGTTGGTGTTAGACTGGTGGCGGCTGATAAAACCCGTTTGCTTTACTGATGTCTAACCCCTGGTTAGCTCAATTGGTAGAGCACTCCACCTGTAATGGAGAGGTCCCGGGTTCGATACCCGGACCAGGCGGATTTTTTCGGTCACGGACCAGTCACCTAGCTGTGTTTGGAGATTTGTGTTTGTCCTTTGTCCCTCTTGTTCCCCTTCTCCAGGGATTATTTCCACCATAACTCAAGTCGGTCATTATGTAGCGAATTATAAGAACTTGTTATATAAAAATTACGTTGTAATCATGAAAAATGCACACGTTTACAACGGGAAGGACATTCACCAGCCAATTTTAAATCTGTAATTGGCTTCATACTTCAACTCTAAAAAAAAAAAAACTTTTCAACGCCTTGGAACCTGATTGCAAGGCCTGTGTGTTTTGCGAATTGTATACTATCACTTTGAGTTAGCTTGTTCACAACAAAGTAGAATATATTTAGCCTAGATACTCGCCAATCAGAACCTTCTGAATTTCTTTACACACTTGATATTGCTAAATAATCTGAGTTAGCTGACTCGTACGCTATTACCTCCAGTTCTAGAACTACTTTTTGTCGTTTTAAACATATCTGCAACAAAAGCACATATAGAAGCAAATTAAAGAGCATGCAAGTATCAGCTACGTAAGTTGCACGTATTTTGTTTACCCCTACACGCACTTTAAATTTGAATAAATTGATGTTAGCGATTGGCCTAAAATTAAGTCATCGAATATTTGGGTAGATTGTAAAAAAGTTACATATTTTTAGTTGAATCATGACTTTCAAACATTAAGCGCCGAAATGAGGATGAAAGTCAAAGGGCACCGTAAAATCAAATTTAAAAAAAGAAAAAAAAAACGTTTTTTCTTATTTGAGAAATCCTGCCCAGAATCGTGGGCAGACCACAATACAAAAACTTTTCACAGATCAAGAAACCCACGCGCGTTTCTAGAAAAAACAAAAACGCTCTCAATCCACCTTCCGTGCTTATTTTCGCAACCCCGTCAAGATTTTTTTTTTTTTTTTCAGTCACGGTTTTGGCCAGATTCGGACCACAACGAAGCCCAAGGTTCCCCAAAATCCGGATAGATGGCGCCGCCACTTTCTCCCGAATTTCGCCTGGCCGTGCCACGTTGCCCAGGAAACGAGTCCCGCCGCCGCCCGCCCCGCGGCCCGTGGACCCCGGCGGCTGCGTATAAAACGCCGGCACCGGCCCGAGCACGTTGCCAGTGCGTTGTCAGTCGATCACGCTGTTGCGCGAAACACATGGAGGCTCGCGGGCACCTCAGGCCGGTGCCGAACACCTCGCGTGGGACGGCGTCGGCGCCGGTGCACGCAACGACGTCGCTCGAAATGCACCGAGATGAACCCAACTGAAGAACCTGTGTCAAGTGGGTCTTGCGCCATCCGGCTTTTTCTCGGCTTGCGGCTATGCCGTCCTGTGCGTGATTCTTCTGCGGTTTCAGCGACGTGCAAGGAGACACTCCACACGGCCGTACTTTGGCATCCTGTCTTTGTGTCCGAAGCCCGACTTTCTCGTTCTTGCGCTGTTTTTGCGATGTGACTACGCCCCGGCCGTCGCGTGAAAGAGGCAGCACGATGAACTGACCGATTCCTCGTCTCAAGTGCTTGACTGTGCTGCGTATTTTCTGCACGGGTTCAACGGAGTGCTTTCGCAACTTTCTTAGGTGAGTTGAGCTCATTTTATTCACTTTTTTTCTAATAATTATTAAGTAGAAACGTGTATAATTTTATGTTCATAACTTGCTCAATACTGATTTGAACTGTCAAAATTTTTAAGTAAGTGATGAGCACCATTACCATTTTCTTAGCTTTACCCATTTAGTCTTTTGCACCCTTTAATCTATGCTACAAATTCCACTTCAAATATTTTATGCATAGTTTAGAGACTGCATTGCACTTATTGCTGTATAAGTAAAATGAGAGCTAGAATGCTTTTATGACAGTTTTTAAAGAGGAACAATTTTCTCTAGATTCTTTGAAACGTTGCAAGAAGAGTTTGTAACCAGCATCAAGTCGGTATGCATTCTTGGTATGTAAACACCAACCACTCCACTCCTCCATAAGCCTATAATTTATATTTCCGCTAATCATGACGGCACCGACTTTGTGACGCGTCTAGCTTCTGACACGAGTACTCTGGTATTGAGATGTTTAGTGTTAGACCTGACGAATTGCGCCCATATCAAAGCAAACGAAAGATCACAATTCTTCTAAGAGATTTAAATGCATGGGATCAATTTCTCCTCAACTTCATAAACATGAATGCAACAAAGAACCAGCTGTGAGGCTCCCCTAATTATAGGGTGCCAAAATTAAACGTTACAACTACGTACGTTATTAAAAATAAGATGACAGCTATTACACGCTTGACATACTAAAATTGTTTTCGTAAACGGCCTATCATCTTTCATACATGAATAATGTAAACGACATCCGCAGATGTTCACCTAGCCAAAAACCTTCCAAGCCTTCCATAAATTTTGTCATGTCAACGCACAAACTCCGCAAAAGGCTGCCTGAAAAAAACTAACATTTCATCTAAAATGATGGGTACACGAAACCACCCTATACTCACAGTTATATGCATTGCAATTTCTGGTACTTCAAACTCAGTTGCAAGCTAAGGTTCATTTAGCAGAGATGATCAAGACATTGGCGGTTTCTCAATGTATATTTCGGAAAAAAGCTCGAGCATACTCTTTTCTTTAGGGAAGCGGTGCGTACTTTCAAAACACTTAATTCTGAAACTCAGTTTATTAAGTGACGCGAAAATGTTACCCGATTGTTATGTGTGATCTAAAGCTTAAAACAAGGAACAGCGGAAAGGCTGTTCCTTTACGCTGTTCCTTTTCGCTGTTCCTCGTACATTAGCATACTAATGTACGAGCTAAAAATTCAATAGCGTTCTGAGGTGGAGATTTTGCAGGTAATCTACATAACATGAATAATTCGAGGCAAGTCAATAAATAGGATGTTACGCAAGAATACATTTCGATAATTGAACGCATCACCTGCAGGATATGACACATCGTCTTGACGTAGAGTACACGTGAATATTGAATATAAAGTGTATATTAATACTTTTGTGTCAGGTGTAAGAGAACTCGTTTAGCCGTCGGTCTTGAAAACCAGCTAAAGTATCAAAAATCAGTGATTGGTCCCTCCACGTCTAAACATTATGTGCAATAGAATCTGTAATATGATTCAGCAGTCAGCACATAAATGGATAATATTGCGTACTTAATTAGGCATACATATTATGATGATATAATTGTCAAGTGGAATTTGTTGCGTTTTTGTCTCTTTCGCAAAATTGAATTGCATTTTTATGGTACAAATAAGAGGAAGAGAGAAAGAAAGAGCTTTCTAAAGTACTATGTGCTTTATATTGAGAGATATGTGTCTTTTTTGAAGCTCCCACACATGCGTTTTATTCTTAATCAAATCAACGTACATTGTTTGTTTTTATGCTACTAACGATTGTAAATACAAAGTGGGCACTTGTACCGCGGTGGAAGAAGAGAGATATCTGTGAACAATGCCAGAACGGAGGCGAAAATTTAACCTGAGCTTCGCGCATCCCCGAACAAGAGCCCAGTCGGTTTAAGGCTCCCGCACAGGCGCAGTAGCGCACCGCGCGGCTTTCAAAATGTGTTCGAAATTACAAACTGTATTTAGTGTCCCTTTTATGTTGGGCATTTCACGGCGTTTGCCAGAAATACGATCGAACCCTCGGCACATCTCTTTCATGGCGAAGCGCCACCGTTGAGGAACTTCTCTATTCTTCTAGCTTGATCTGTACTGTCTGAAAAACCTAAACAATTCATGCACTGTTTTTTTTCTACGAGTGTCTAAGCTTAGATTACACAAAATATTATATGATCTGTAGAAAAAAAAATACATACGGTTTCCTTCTCTGATAAGAGCACAATCCGAATCATCTAATGATAAGAGGTTTTAATAATTTAGAGGAGTGCATTTGGCATAAGACACTTCATGCGGGCAAATATTTAGAATGCTGTGGTTATTTTTTTTTAAGGTTTTGGGGAAAGGGGTGTGACGAGGCATTAAAATAATCACGTAAAAGTTTACATAAGTATGAATTCCATCTTGCAAATGTCTTCACCTAAAGGTATAGCTCGGTTATTCTGTTTGGCTCTGAATTGAACGCGGACCAACCTGTCGGCTAAACACTGGAAAATAAATGTTCGCATACGGAGTCCCAAAGCTTCTAAATGTATTGCATTCTAAAGGTGTGTTTATAGATAGTTTAACCTCGGGCGTATTGCGCTCTTTCATGCCTGATCTTGAATATATGAATTAATGTGATGAGATTTTTTTTTCTCGGTTTAAACGTATGATTTCTATTGATCTACGAATGTTGACTAATATGGTGCTCAGTGACTTTTGCCATTCTTGTTTTTTTTGTATACATTATGATTATGCACGATTTTCTTTGAATATTGATATTTCCGAAGCTTGTGCAGAATGTACTGGGGCCGAGAACTCGTCAAGCTGCGTAGCGGAGCTTTTTTTCTTGGCTCCACCAGTAGGTGTAATGGAAATAAACTGTTATCATTATTAATAATAATATTATTATTATTATTATTATCATACGTTTGTGGACTATGCATGTGTGTGTTCATGATGCGTGCTTAACCCGTTATCTCAGAACGTAGGTCTTCTCGCTCTAAGAGTATGTATGGAATACACATGCAATCACCTTTCCGCGCGCAAAATTCACACCCGTTCCTGTAAAGCGTGCTATGCCTGCCGTGCACCAGAGCGTTAGGTGAAGCCAGCTCACGGTAGACCTAGGTTGCTATGGTAAAAGAGATGAGGGGGAGGTTTGGCTATATACACTAACTCGAATGTCTGAAGTCACGCTGCTACAGTGGATCTGCTCTCCCGACTGCACATGCGCAGACGCTTTCTCTCATGCGCATCGAGTTTCTGGGCGCGGGCACACAAGCGCGGGCTTGTTTCTAAACTGCGTGTAGGTCGGTCGTTGGCATGACTTTTGAGATATTCATTGTTACGTAACTACAGTACTTTATTAGAAGCCAATGCTACTTTATTTTCAGCTGATGGTCTCCATTTAACTTTAGATCAACCTCCAAATTCAATCAGTTTTTTTAACGAAAATTGTGCGATTGTATTCTTCTAAAATCTTCCGATGTAGTTACGCGTCGCAAACTGATTCAAAACGTCAGAAATCAAATAAAGAGGCCCGATACACCGGTGCCAATGCCCGCTAACAATAGAATTTACTTAGAAGCATTTGTAGCGAAACATTTTACACAATAGGAGAACGAAGACAAGAAATATGAACGTCAAATATATGGAATTCGAAAGGCACAGGCACAATTCTGTAAAAAAACTGTTTGGCCAGCAGATGTAAAAATATTTCAAACCCGTGGTCCCTGGTGTCGATGAACCTTAAAAAACAATCATTCAACAAATTCTGCAAAATAATACAATTTCCACAATGTTTTTTTTAATTATTTATAATTAACGAAAAGCCACTGATATGCTTTAATACTATATTTTTTTTTATTCTTCGGACTATGCTTAAACACGTTAATTATACGATGTAACTAAAAACACCTTAAGTCAGATTTTATAGCCAGTTAAGCAACAAACTACGCTTGCAGCGTTTCATTTTTCGTCGCCTTTTTCGTCCCTACGCAGACTAGACTAACTACATAAGATCTCCCAAGGCAGTTCTATATAAATATTCATAATGTTGGCGTGGCACGCATAACACTTTTTTTAAACATAAAGAAGAACCTATTTGTTAATTTTAAATTTACTCCTTTACATTTATTAAGCTATAACATTGGATTCCAGTTCTTACAGATTGTGTAGTAATCGCGACGCGTTTTTCACTAACGTTGTGGTTTCAGCTCGCTCTGGTGTTGGCTTCACCTACACCTCAGCTGGATCAAGGCCAAGCACGGCTAATTTTCGTTACATTTTGTTTAATATTAAATTTATGGCTAAGATTATTAGGAAGAAAGGCAGTCGCATTATTTTCCCACCTAATTTTATTGAGCCACGACATGGGTCTCGATTTTTACAGTCCAAAATCACATTACGCTTCTTTCTTTTTTTATGTCACGACGAGCATTAGCGTACCTCACCCCTATACGGAAATCATCCTAGAAACAAAACAATAAGCATAACTAATTTCTTGCATCATATATCCTACCTTACAATCATACATACCGAATCCAACTTCATTAATGCGCGCTACCGCGTGTTTCTCTTCTTTTTTTTTTTTCCTTCGAGGGGCGCTTGCTTAGCGGCAATCTCTACTACTGATTGGTCACGTGAAGGGGGGCCCATCGCAGTGCGCTAAGGAAATACGGTAGCTCTAGAGATATGATTCTGTTTTCAAGCGTATTTCCACCCAGAAAAAAAAAAAAACGCGCCTTTCGGGCGCATTCACACCGACGCTGCCGTTGAATAAAACCAGGCAACCACACGGGGCCTCCTGTAGTCGGCGTCGTCTCAAGTGATGCCCGGGCGACGCCGACGGGGGCAGGCACTGCGTGGTAGCCTCGTTTTTTTTTAACGGCGGCATCGATATCGACCAAAACGAGTGTTTTCTTTTTTTTTTTCAGCATAAATTCCATTTAGCTCGTTTTTGTGCTACTCTCTG